TGGGGGAATGCTCAAATACAAAGTCCGCACAAAATATTTCATCTGAGAGCTGCCAACGCTGCTCTCTTAAAGACTGTCTCACTGCAACACCAATGCCGTCCAAGTTACAACGGAGGAAACCCCACACTGGACTAAAGGGACAGTGCTTCACACTGGAATAAGCCCCGAAGCCGAAAACACCTCTGCTGGTCCTCTGCTTATGTGAAACTCTCCAGACCTGTGCTGCTGCTGCTGCATATTATCTGTTCCCAAGCAGGCCTTCAGACGCACATGCTCAAACAGCAGCTGATATAGGAATGTTCTCAGCTACTGCGTGGTAAGAGTCCTTTTGTTCCCCATTCACTAATACTTGTGAAATTAGTGTGGCTGTAAAATTACAATTGTAAAGTTCATAAAGAATCATAAGAGGGCTTAGGTTAGTAATCAGAAGTAGAAACCTAAAACCAAAACACATAAGACTAGACTAATACAAATATATATATACAAGCCCCAACAGCAAGTCTTTAACCCTAACAAGACAATTCACTAAAAGGACGCTGGTGGAGCAGTGGCAGGATCAGTGACCCATGACAGAGTATCACTGAAAAGCAATGCAAAAGATCCTAAATGGCTGCACACAGTAGTGAACGTCTTTAATCCCAGTACTCGGGAGGCGGAGGTAGGAGGATCTCTGTGAGTTCAAGGTCAGCCTGGTCTACAAAGTGAGTTCCAGGACAGCCAGGACCTCAAAGAGAGATATCGTCATCATGGTCATCATCATCATCGTCGTCGTCGTCATTATCATCGACTAACTCCAAATGAGAGAAGGTACAAGTACAGACCTATAATTCCAGCACTGTAGAGATGGGGGCAGGAGAAAGGAGCAAGACTAGGATACTTGGCGATGGCAAGACCTCTAACACGTCTATGTGGAGGGCAGCCTACCATCTATGAGCACACCAACTTTACTGATTATCAGAGGACTCATGTAGTCTTTCAGTTCGACAACTACCTTGATAGTGCTGATAATATAATTGGAAAAAAATGTTATTTCCATACTGTCTCTAGATTAAACATCCCAGATGTACAACAAAAAACCATGTTTCTCAAGCTTTGCTAAGAGTGGTCAATGCAGGGGCAGAGGATATCAAGTAACAACTTTAGCTCCAAAATCAATAAACTGTATCTGTCAAGTGTATCCATCTCCTCTCCAGTGAGTATTAACAAATAAGATGACACTGTTAAGAGACAATATGCACAGAACAAGTTCTGGGTTTACATTGAGTGTGATTATGGTCTTAGGCCATGAGGATGAACATTCATTCATTCCATTCTCACGTCAGAACTCCACAGAAAGGTATTTTCTTAAGACTGGTATTTTTAATTATGTATGTGTGTCTGTGTTTATGCACAAAAGTGCAGGTGCCCGTGGAGTCCAGAAGAGGGCTTTGGATTCCCTGGAGCACGAGTTACAAGGCAGTCCTGAGTCACTGACTGAAGGAATTAGGAATAGAACTTAGGTCCTCTGCTGCAGAGTATTGACTATGTGAAGGTGTGGTATATTTGTTTCTGCTGCCTTTATTAACTACCCACCAACCCCACAGTTCCCCCAGAGTTTTCTTGAGTGCAAGCAGCAGGAAATATTAGATAGAAGGATTTAGATTGTGGAGATAAACAGATAGAAAATAAAGGATAGCCTCGAGAGGGCCTGGAACCTATTCCAAGGAGCCCTGTTTCTGCCCTACAGTATTTATAGAGACACCAATGGGTGGAGCAAAAGACCTCCCCCCAGCACAGCCAAGTGCAGACCATCTCAGACACCTGCACTCAGGCCCGTGGTCCTAATCATCCTCTCTATGCAGACCTGCTGGGTAAAGCCACAAGGAACCTGAAAATGGGTTCCCACAATTAACCATGTAAAGATGTGTTATATTTGTTTGTGCTACATTTGTTTAACTATGTAAAGATGTGTTGCATTTGTTTCACCTTGCCTGGCTAAGGCATCAGACCTGAATGGTCTAATAAACTGAATGGCCAACAGGCAGGAAAGGGATAGATGGGGCTGGCAGGCAGATAGAATAAATAGGAGGCGAAATCTAGGCTCGAGAGAAGAGAGAATGAGGGAGAAGGAGAGACATTCCCAGGGCCAGAAGCCAGGCAGCTGCCAGACAGACAGACATGAGAAGCAGTGAAAGTAAGATACACAGAAGGAAAGAAAAGTAAAAAGCCCTGCGGCAAAACACTGATGAAGAGAAACAGGTTAAGTTACAAAAGCTGGTGGGACAAGCACAGGACGAGGCCGAGCATTCCAAAGTAATGAGCAGTCTCCCTGTCGTGATTTGGGAGCTGGTTGCTGGCCCAAGAGAAAAAGCCTGGTACAGTCCTCTGCAAAAGCAGTACCTACTCTTAACCACTGAGCCATGTCTGCAGCCCCCATGGGGGTGAGGGGGAGGTCTTTTTCATACCCAGTAGAACTGTGTTGTGAGTATTATGGATCTCAAAACATGAAGATTAGCATAAAAACACTGAAGTACGAAATCCTGAATAGAAGCCCTATTCATACCTCAGTGCATAGTAAAGAAATACAGAAATGCAGCATGTTTTTAAGACTGGAGACTGTGTTAACTGGGAGGGGAGGGGAAGGAGGTCTAGCCCTCGATGCAGGCAGCCCCATCCCTGCCTTCCTGTCCTGGGTGGCACTCCTAAAGTGCCGGCCCAAACAGCCCGTCCCTCCTCACACTGCTCTGTCGGGTCTTTGGTGACAGTAACAAGACAAGGAAGCAATGCAGACAAACGGCACGGTGACTGGACCGCTGCTGTGACAAGCTCAACCACGTGGTCGTGGGCTCTTGGAACCCGTCTCAGGAGGGGCACCCTGGGCCCAAAAAGCCCTTGATTAGCGTAAGCAGAGGTTATTCTTTGGAGATGCCGAGGCAGATGTAGACCATGGATGCAGCTCGTGAAGTTTCAGATAGGAACACAGACTGTTTCAGGAAGCGGGCTTCAGGACAGTCAAGTCATAGTCTAGCAAAGGATCTGGCTTCATTTTGCCTCTGTCCTACGAACTTGGTTGGGGGTGAATTCTAAGTTATGGGGGGCTGGTGAGATGGCGCTGCAGGGAAGGGCACTGGTGCCGAGCGCGGTGACTGGCGCTCAATCCCCTGGGACCTATGCGTGGTGACTGGCGCTCAATCCCCTGGGACCTATGTGGTGGCAGGAGGAGAAACACTCCAGCAAGCTGTCCTCTGACCTTCACCTGCATGCCGAGCACACTCGAAAACCCAGACGCATACACACAAGAGTGAATGTAATTTTTAAAAAGGATTTTAAGCCAGGTGTGATGGTGCAAGCCTTTTATCTCAGCACTTAGAAGGCAGAGGCAGGTGAATCTCTGATGATTCCATCATAAGCCCTCGATGCTAGGCACAGAGACACAGATTTGGTGTTTGCCTTGCTTGATTTTGGTCTAACCTTGGTCCAATCTGTCCTTGCTATGTGGCCAGTCGTTCCTCACTGTTTGAATGGGAATGTTTACTTTGTATCAATATGTACTGGAATTATTTGCATTAAGTAACTTGCTTTGATTCATAGGAGCTTATAGCTAAGGTATCCCCTTGAGTCTCAAAAGAAACTTGGGAGTTTTAGACATGCTGAAACTACTAAAGACAATTTAGACCTTTTAGGATGGGCTGAATGCACTCTGCATTGTGAAATGGCTTTGAGTCTATGGAGATAAGAGGTGAAGTTTGTGGCAAAAGAAGTTCTGTGTTTGAAGGCAGGTAAGGTTGTTTTACATGTAAAGGCGCTTGCCACAAAAACCTGACAACCCGAGTCAGATCCCCAGATCCCACGGGGAAGGAAAAAAATGACCCCCCAAAGTCGTCCTCTGATCTCCACCTGCATGCCGTGGCACGGCATGTACGCACGCACGCACGCACGCACGCACGCACGCACGCACACAGTGACGGGCTGGAGAGATGGCGCAGTGGTTAAGAGCACTTGTTGCCCTTGCAGAGGACCTGAATGCGCACGGTGGCTCACAACCATCCGTAACTCCAGGTCCAAGGAAATCAGCGCCCTCTGATCTTCCAGGCACGTGGTGCACGTACATTCACAGAGGCAAAACACATACACATAAAATAAGTAAGTCTAAAATTATAATAATACCTGTTAAGTGATATGTTCAAGCTGACAAGGAGTGGACTTTCTGATACGTTTTTGGTTTTTTTTTTGGTTTTTTGAGACAGGGTTTCTCTTGTGTAGCTTTGCGCCTTTCCTGGAACTCACTCGGTAGACCAGGCTGGCCTCGAACTCACAGAGATCCACCTGACTCTGCCTCCCAAGTGCTGGGATTAAAGGCGTGCGCCACCACCGCCCGGCCTGGACTTTCTGATACGTAATACTGATAGGACTTGACAGGAATCACCCAGCAGACAAACTTCCGGGCACGTCTGTGATAGAGTTTCTAGATTAGGTTTGGTAAGTGGGTGGCACCATTCCACAGGCTGCGGGACCAGATCAAATGAAAAGGCAAAAGGCAGCTGAGCGCCTTATTGCTTCCTTATTGCAGATGCAATGTGACAGCTGCCTCAGGCTCCTGTCGCCAGAACTCCCCCACATGATGCAATGTCCTCTCAAACTCTGGCAAAATAAAGGCTCCCGTCCCTGTCCGGTCAGGTGTTTAAAGTAATAAAAAAGTCAGATGAGGGAGATCTTATTCCTGTCGGCCTTTTTAAGAAAGAAACATAGGAGTTACTACAGGAGAACCCGAATTCTCTAAGTTAATATTTAAAATACTGGGTATGTATCGTGTGTGTGTGTGGGCACGTGTGCCACAGCGCACATGGAGAGTCAGAAGACAGCCTGGAGTGAGAGGCTTTCACCTTTCCATGCGTTGGTTCCAAGGCTGAACTTGGGTGTCAGGCTTCCACTCTCGGAGGCAGTGCCTTTACCACTAAGCCATCTCACTGGCCCCCAACTCTCCTGGGAATCGTAAAATCTGCAGTGTATCCGTTACTTACTGTAACTGCCCGGAGACTTTTCTTCATACATAAAATGAAGCTGTAGCTCCTCCTCAGACATCTCACAGATGAACACTTTCAGCAAGCAGCAAATAATAAACAAAGCATTATGCGTCTGCCAAATGAAGATGTGGCTGGAGAGAAAAGGAGAATCACCTAAGACTCAGTATTTAATCACAAACAAGGTCAGTTTGTTTCTAGGGCATGATGTCTTCATAATTTATGAATGGTTTTGCACAGCCTGCTTAAAACATTAAGATAATGTCTGTATCTTTCAAAGGTTTATAATTATACCCAGCCAGTGGCAGCTACTGCATTTCTCTTAGATGGCCTTCTGTACATAGTGAAATCTACTTAATTAAAACAGTTACAGGCACTTGTATAACTGCTTTGTCCTTAACTGTACAACTCTACCACATGAAAGCAACTGAGACAAAAGAGAGCTAAAACCATGGTAGCATAAAGAGAATACTCACAAATACACAATGTAACAAAAGGAGCCATCAGTGGCAACACAACACAGTGCTGTTATTTGCATTAGTAACAGGAAAACTTTAACTGGATTTGATATATTTGTTTATAAGCGGGGCAATGAATAATCTTAAAAATACTATCCTTCTGAAACAGTTTTATAAGAGGCAGCATGGTGGCTCACACCTGTTACCTTAGCACTTGGAGGCTTATAGCACCAGCATGCCATGACATCAAGGTCCAGCCTGGGCTACAGAGTGAGACTTTGTCTCAAACAAACAAACACACAAAGTCAGTGCCCTAGTCATAAACAAGAGGCTTCCCCTGATCCAGTATTTAGGACAGAAAAGCATTAGATGTAGAATGAGATCCCATCGGTCTAAGTCATCATTTAAACTAGATATTATAACGATAATGAAAAACGATGATGGAAGGGAACCACCTTTTATGCTAACACACCACGGCAGAGGAGGACAATGACGGATGAATATGAGCAAGTAAATGACACCGTCTATGAAAATGTCACCATAAGGCCACTTTATATGCTAACCACAACAAGAATTCATTAAAATTAATTAATTTTTAAAACTGAATTCAAAGAATAATTACATCATTACTAAACTTTTCTAAAGATCTAATTTTAATAATTAACCAAAATGCTGAAATCAAATTCCTGAATCTCACACCAACAATTTAAGACACTAAAATAAAAACTTGTACTTTTTTTCCCCTCTTCATAAAGAGCATAATTCCTTCACAGGGATTTTTAAAAGATCATAACCTACTCCCCGACCAAATAAAAACTGCCCCTCCTAGCGCTGAGTACGCCGGCCGCGGTGCCGGTTCAACGGCAGCTTACTTCTGGCACTCCGCTGAAAGCCTGAGCTCTCTCGTTCTGGAAAGGAAGACCTTAGTTAAGGCGCCAAGATTTCCCGTTCGAGGGTTGTTTTCAACTGCAAGAGACAAGAAAGGCATTTAAATAGTTAACACTGAGCATATCATACCATTTATAGAACGTCAAATTGAAACTGCCCACTGACCACACTTACTGACAATTTCACATATAACTCAGAAAATAAGCAAGGAGCGAAAATGCTGCTCTTGGTCTATGCTGGCTAGTTTCGTGTCAGCTTGACACAGATGAGTGTCCTCTGAGAGGAGGGAGCCTCAGTTGAGGAAAATGCCTCCATAAGACCTGGCTGTAGGGAAGCCTATAGAGCATTTTCTTAATTAGTGACTGATGGGGAGGGCCCAGCCCACTGTGGGTGGTGCCATCCCCCCAGCAGGTGGTCCTGGGTTCTATAGGAAAGCAGGCTGAGCAAGCCATGAGGAGCAAGCCAGTAAGCAGCTCCCCTCCATGGCCTCTGCATCAGCTCCTGCCTCCAGGTTCCTGCGGTTGAAGTTTTTGCCCTGGCTTCCTTCAGTGATGAGCAGTTAAGTGTAAGCCAAATAAACCCTTTCCTCCCCAACTTGCTTTTGGTCATGGTGTTTCATCACAGCAATAGAACAGTGACTAAGACACAGTCTCAATTACAAATATCAAAATTTACTTATGAGCTAAACAGCAGAAGAAAGTGCAATCTCAAAGGAGGTAAGAACCACTATTACTATAAGTTTTCATTCCTTTTGAATTTTTAAAAAAGTATTGTTTTATTTTACATATGTATGGTTGGTTGGCCTGCACATATATCTATACATCATGTGCGTACCTGAGAAGGCCAGAAGAGAGCATTGGGTCCCCTGTAACTGGAATTGTGGACTGTTGTGTGCTCTGGAAGAGCAGCCAGTGCTCTTAACCACTGAGCCATCGCTCCAGCCCAATGTTACATATTCTTATCTATAGGCTGTTCCTTGCTCAAGGACACATCCTTTCCACTGGCTCAAATCCTGAGCTATGATGAAGGAACTGGATTACGAAGCCACTGTCGGGCAGCATGGCAAGTCTGAAGCAGGACACTAAGGATGGGACAGGAGACCACTTAGTCCACAGTCTACTTCTCCTGCTAAAGAAAGCTCACAGGGTTTAAGTCTGGGTGCAAAGTAAAATCCACGGCAGTGACCAGCACACGGTCATTTCCTTGACCCCTGATTTTCAATGTAAATGTAAATTCAAGAGCCATGGATGCTGCTGGACCAGAAGTGCAGACACGGAAGCACACTGGCCTGAGCTGCAGGATTCATTTCCATGAAGATCTGGGAACTGTGTATCTATGGGAGCCTTCTTAACATGCCGAAGGGTATCAAAGATGGAGTTCTTCAGGAAACACTTCTAAAAAATAAATGCAGCTCTGCAGACACACACTGTAAAAGACTGTACAAGGAGCCGGGCGGTGGTGGCGCACGCCTTTAATCCCAGCACTTGGGAAGCAGAGCCAGGTGGATCTCTGTGAGTTCGAGGCCAGCCTGGTCTCCAAAGCGAGTTCCAGGAAAGGCGCAAAGCTACACAGAGAAACCCTGTCTCGAAAAAACAAAACAAAAAAAACCAAAAAACAAAAAACTGTACAAGGGAAGCCAGGTGTGGGGCACATGCCTGAAATCCTAGCAGGGTCCCTACCACCACCACAGACATAGACAAGGTGCACTGACCCAGTGGTACAAAGGACCCATGAGTCAAATAATGACTACTGTCATAGTCACAATCAAGAATGTCACTTCATTAATTCATCTCATACTATCATAATTTTAACAGGAATTCTGAAAACCTGCCTGTTTCTCTCTCCCCTCCCACCTTACCCAAAGACTTGCAAACTGAAATGGTTGCCTCTTCCAACAGCTTCAACTCAGAACTGTAGAGACAAAAGAAGAAAGGTAGTTTATTACACAATGCTAAAATGTACACACTAATGGAATGGAATGTATCAACTGAAAAAATAAACTAGAACAAGCATATGGTAAACAAGGCACACAATAAAATCAGCAATATAAAATAAAGCTTTCACTTTCAGTGTGGTTAGGAATTAGAGAGAAGAGCTTGGGGCGACCTACCTTTCAGGACCTGGGGTGGGTAATTTAAAACAGAATACAAGGCCCAGGTTCCAAAGCAGCACTGACCGCGCCCTTACAGTGGTCACTCAGAGAACTGACATCGTGCTTAGGAGATGAGTGAGGCGCGGAATCTCAACACTGTCAAATGGCTGAGCACAGGACAGGAGAGGTGTGTGCCTGGAGTTCCCAGAATTCAGGAGGCTGAGGCAGGACGGCCATGAGTTCAAGGCTAACCTGGACTACGTGAGCTACACAGTGAATTTCAAGACAGACTGGCTGTCTCAAACAATAACAAAAAATAAATAAATGAAACAAAAAGTGAAACAAAGCAAGAAAAGAAGGAATACAAGCTTCAGTGGTCCACAGACACAGAGAAAAACAAAAGCCAGGCATGGTGGCACACACCTTAAACACCAGCACTCTGGCAGGCAGAGGCAGGGGGATCTCTAAGAGTTTGAGGCCAGCCTGGTCTACATAACAAGCTCCAGGCCAGCCAGAGTAATATAATAATAATGATATAATAATCTCCAAAAAGCAAACACACACACATACAGTAGTGAAAAGTTTGGTTTTGGGTTTTTTTTTCCCCCCGAGACATGGAACTAGCTTTGCAGACCAGTCTGGTCTCGAACTCAGAGATCCACCTGCCTCTGCTTCTAGAGTGCTGGAATTAAAGGTGTGCAACACTACTGCCCAGCTCGGTTTTTTTGTTTGTTTTGTTTTGTTTTAACTCTACAACTCAAAAGTAAAAATAACCCCAAAATTTAAATTTAAAAATGGGCAAAGGATAAGGCTAGGCTGGGCATGGCTGTGCAAAAGACAGCCAAGACTACATAGAGATGCTGTCTCAAAAAAAATGGGGTTAGGGGGTGTACAGCAGAAAAAGAGAGATGGATTAAAGACTAAGATTACTAGCTGTTCTTACAGAAGACCATGTACTGGTTCCCAGTACCCACATGTCAGCTCACAGCCACAAAAATAAATCTTTTGTTTACTTGTTTATTTTGAAACAGAGTCTCTATACACAGCCCACACAGAGAACAGTCTGCTCTGCCTCTATAGTGCTGGGATTAAAGGTGGACACAACCACGCCCAGTATTTTTTTTTAAACGGGAATGCAATGGTTTGTTGCAGTGACACATGCCTTTAATCCCAGCACTTGGGAGACTGGCAGATCTCTCTAGCAGAGTTCAAGGCCAGCTGGATCTACACAGAGTTCCAGGACAACCAAGGCAGCATGGTAAGACCCTGTCTCAAAAAAAGAAACTATTAAAATATAGGAATTCAGAGACATGGCAGGCACAGAGACCTTGCCATGTTTTGGGATATGGAGGCCAATCAACACAGGTCATCTTCAAGAGCTGTAGTTAGTGATCTTAACCACTGAGCTATCTCTCTGGCCACCAGGTCAAGAAGTGATCTAAGTTTAAACATGTGTTAAATGTTTCAAAGGTGTTTGTTTGCAAATGTAAAGGTAAAGAATCTATCTCTTTTTTTATATTTATTTATTTATTTATTTATTTATTTATTTATTTATTTATTTATTTATTTATTATGTATACAGTGTTCTGTTTGCATGTATCCCTGCAGGCCAGAAGAGGGAGCCAGATCTCACCACAGATGGTTGTGAGCCACCATATGGGTGCTGGGAATTGAACTCAGGACCTCTGGAAGAACAGCCAGTGTTCCTAACCTCTGAGCCATCTCTCCAGCCCCAGAATCTATCTTTTTTAATCTGTTGTTATTATTTTATATAGTGTGTGTGTGCAGGTACCCACAGAAGCCAGGTGTCAGATCCTCCTGGAGTTGGTGTTACAGGTGGTTGTGAACTGCCTGGTGTGAGTGCTGGGACTCAGTCTCGGGTCCTCTAGAAGAACAGGATCTGTGCTTAACGACTGGGCCATCTCTCCAGCCCCAAGAATGTATCCTCTGAAGCTCTGATTCCTCTCCTCAGAATGATTCCACCTCCTTTGCAAAGCTGCTCTTTGTGGCTAGCCAGGCAGCTAACACCTGCCTCTCTGTGATAAGGCTCAGGAAGCCTGGCTCTCCTTACACACAGCTGTCCTGGCTCCCCTCTGAGCAATCACTTCTGGGTGAAAGTATCCTTGGTGCCCACACTTATGCTCCATGAAAACAAGGTTTATTCATCATGCACCTCCACCTTGCCTGTCCACCTGAAGAGAATACCTGACCGTTATTCACCCAGTGAGAGTCACAGAGCTCTCCTGCAGGAGGCCTGCAGTTTCTAGGTTCTGAATGTTACTTTTAGTGTCTGTAAAGCAGCAGTTCTCAACCTGTGGGTCATGACCCCTTTGGATATTCTTATTATGATTTGTAACAGTAGCAAGATTTTAGTTATGAAGTAGCAACGAAATAGTCTTATGGCTCGGGGTCGCCACATGAGAAACTATTAAAGGGTCGTAGCGTTAAGAAGGTTGGGAACCACGGCTGTTCAGGAACTCAAACGGGCACACTGACTGCTGTAGTAGAACTTCTTTCCTCTCATCCAGCCACAGTCCAGTTGTGTAAACTTCTCGGGCATTTAGGAACAACGTGCTTTGTGTCTGCTTTATTCGGACCGTTCTGTTCCGTAACTGCTGCTGTCGGACTGATGGCTTCACAGACAAGGATTGCTTCAGGACCCAGTATGGCTGCTCATCTAGAGTTCAGCTTGGTAGGAAAACGGATTGTGAGATTGTGAATTTTAAATGTTTATTTCTCATCCATCAATTAGGTTTCGCGGTTGGCTCCTTATATGGAGTTCATGTACAGAGTAAGTCTGAAGTGATCTGAGTCAGGATTTGCTGCCTCTTGTCCCTTTTTGCATATTTCCAGTGTCTCAGAGCTGACTTCGGACACATTTGGTTTCTGATTGTAATTGTAATTGTCTTGGAAACACTAGCATATTTCTGAAGTACCATTTTAGTTGTATTTACTTCGAATATGATCTGTTGGTTGTCTCCTGCCAGAACAGCTGAGCTGCTGAGTGTAGCCGGGCGGTGGTGGCACACGCCTTTAATCCCAGCACTCAGGAGGCAGAGCCAGGCGGATCTCTGTGTGTTCGAGGCCAGCCTGGTCTACAGAGCCAGATCCAGGACAGGCACCAAAACCACAGGGAGAAACCCTGTCTCGAAAATAAAAAAAAAAAAAAAAAAAAAAAAAAAAAAAAATCTAATAACACTCCACTAAAACTGTAGGAAGGAATTCCAACAGCAAGAATATGGATGTCTCTGCAGACCTGGATTCCAGAGTGGTCACCATCAACGCATGTTCACCAAGCATACCGCCTCATAACTTAACTACTACCATCAATGAACAGAGCGACCACACTGCACATGGATTTCTAATCACTGCCCAGTTAGGAGGAAGCAAAGTGGACCCTGACATAAGGGAGGGTCACTCTGAAGCCACATCTCAGTGTCAGGGTTGTTTATCTACCTGCATGCCCTAGTCTGGGAGTCTCGGTGTCCTTAAAGCCAAGCAAGGACGCCACCATCAACAGTACAGCTACACAAACCACAACGCAACATGTAAAAAGGACCCAGCACACAACTCAATGTCAAACTCCTAATCCTCAACTACAAAGGGTACTCACAAGTCAACATCAAATTCCAACATGTATTCCTCATACACTCACAGATACCTTACCAATGCTACACTGTCTTCTCCCACTGGAGAAGAGGGAAGTATATCACATCATTTTAATAATCTTGAAGTGTTCAAACATTTTGAAAATCGTATCAAACAACTATAGGCAAGGCATGGTTAGTGGCCCACACCTATAATCCTAGCACTTAGGAGATAGTCTGAAGAACCATGAATTCCGGCCACTGTGAGCACCTGCACTCAAGTGCATATATCGTCACACAGACTCACATAAACATAATTTTAAAATCTTAAAATAAAAATGAAATCCAGTGTTGGCACACAACTTTAATCCCAACACTGAGGAGGCAGAGACAGGCAGATCTCTATGAGTTGGAGGCCAGTCTGGTCTACAGAGTGAGTTCCAGGTCATCCAGGGCTACACAGAGAAATCCTGCCTCAAAAAAAACAAAACAAAACAAGACAAAAAATCCACACACAGCCAGGTGTGGTGGCACAGGCCTTTATTCCCAGCACTGGAGAGGCAGAGGCTGGCAGATCTCTGAGTTCTCAACCTAGTCTTCTACATAATGAGTTAGGAGACAACCAGGGCTACATAGTGCAACCTTGTCTCAAAATAACAAAACAAAAACAAACAAACTCACACATGTGAACATATATATACAAAAACAAAAAGAAGAAATTAAATAAGACCAAGGCCGAGCACATCACTCTGTATACTTTAATCCTCTTCTGTTTTAAATCCCATGTTACCATCCTCAGGCATGACAAACATCTTTACCCTTTTCTACAAGAATGATCTAGAGAGCAGAACATTAAAATGTGACAGAAAAAGTAAAAATCTGACCAATAGAAAGTGAAAAGTTGTAAGAAATGTTTCATTATAGAGATGGATTATCAACCATGTTAGCCACTAAAGGAAGAAATGTTTCCAAATGTCATCAGCCACAACTCCAGACAAGGCCTGAGTAGATGGATCTGCTGGTCCCCTGCGGCCTCAGGGGCAAGTCTGCCTTCAGCTCAAGCTTGAAGAAATAAAAAGGCCAGAGCTCAGTGTTAGGCCACCCATTGCCATCAGCCCACAGATGGCTTACTTTAGTGCAACTGATGAATGTCAAGCAGCTTTCCAAAACTGAGAAAACAAAAAGAGTATTTTTGGTGAGGAGGAAAAATCATACTTTTATATAAAGCCTGT